TATATATATATATATAATTAGACAATATGGTCTGCGAAAATGTCACTCTCAGAGAGTAGGTGGAAAATGGCTTTATAAAAAGTAATATGTTCTATATCCAATAGTGTTACTAATAATAGTGCATCTCAGCACAAAATCATGTAAAAATGTACAACCTCTTTAAAGTAGTGATGAGCACTAGAAAAGCAATGCTTTTTGAAGCTTTGAAACCTTTGCAAATTTTGAAAAAGTAGCTCAGAGCGCATGTCAAACCGCCAAAGTCACGTTATTTCAGGCTTTTTCAGGTGGTCGCCACTAGGGCACAGTCTCAGTGAACCAGTTTCTACAGTATGTGGCTTTTAAACTGATCTCAGATCAATTTTAGTTTTTAGCATTTGCATAACATAGGACGTGTTGTAGTTAATTGCATAATTTATTTGACTGATTAGCATTTAATTGATTACACTTTTAATAAGAAAGCATTTGTAATTGGTTTGTAAAAGGTGTTTTATGCATGTTTGAGCAGAGTTAATCATTTTGTAAAGCAGTTGGTTCAGTTGACACAAGTGTTCAAGTATTTAAAGTAATTTTTCAAAAATATTTTAAAACGTTTGCGGCATGGTTAAAAGTGTGCTACACAAAATAAAATTATGTTTTTGAAAGAGAGAGAATAAAAAATCAAAAATAAAGCAAAATGTTTGCTTGTAAATGTACAAACATTATAAACACTATAAACATAGGCTATGCTATTTTAGTTCCCCTCACTTTACAACAAATCATTCTAACGTTAGCTATTCTCAGAACAGAACAAGAATGAAAACAAAAACGAAATAATTTAAAGTGAAACTGGACCAGAAACCGACATTGGGCTCAATGAACCTCTCTCATTCCGCACGAATCCAAATGTTTCCGTATTTGCGATATATTTGGATGTATTTTTTTTACACATATTCTCTTTGTCGATAACAAAACAGCGCAAAAACTGAATGGAAACTAAACAAACACAAGGGCTAATTGGATAATAAGGCACAGGTGAACATATGGGGGAAACAGGAACAAAACAAACTACAAACTAAAAGTCACATACCAAAAGCGTTTTAGTTTGGAGGAAATGTTCTAGTGTAGAATGACTTTCAGCAACATTTTATGCGTTGCATTTCTTGCTCAGCCACACAGCACATTTCAGAATTATTGTGATCAGAAGTTAAGGAGATAGTTACAGCATAATCTTTTTATCCGCTCGTGTCTCAATCACTCACTCTCTTTCTTCTCCACTCTCTCTTATTAACCTTGTTTCGAATCATAATGCAATAGCTGAGTTATTGTATTCTGGACACATTCCATGTTAAGCCCCTACTGTGCTTCTCTGCTGTGTCTCTTTGTATTTACTCTGTTTTATTGCAAATGTTCTTTTATCATTCTTTTTTGGTGATTAGATTGTGTAAAATGACATTATGTTTATTTAAAATCACATCAGGTATCCCAGACTCTTTGAGTATTCTCCATATTAAGCCCCTCTGAGGAATACAGGCCTTGTCCTTCTCTACTGCTGTTTGAAAGGCTGTCTCCCATTATAAGTGCTCTTCTGTTGAATATAAACAGGGATAACAATGAAGCAGACTGCCAGTAGGTGTCCCTGCAGGAATTATGATCAACATTTCTAACCTTCATCAACACTTCTGTTTCTAAGAACTGTAGCTTAATACTCCTCAACATGCTGATGGTCTTGTATTGTTATCCAATACATCTGAGTTATAAAGAGATGTTTTCATAGATTCTATGACATAGAGTAAGCCCAGCCTTGGCTGAATTTCTCCTTGGCAAGTTAACATTTTATATAGCAATATAACTGTCATGTAATAGTGAAGAATTTCAATTTCAATTCAATTCCATTAACAAACTATTTGTATAAATTCTAACTTAAAAGTTAAATATTTCTTACTTAAAATGATATATATTTAATTATTGGCAACATGTTTGTTATGTACCAGCAAATAATTAAATTTGCCTCTTAATTTAATTTAATTTATTGGGTTTTTAAATAATAGCTGGAAAATATATGACTATAATATTTAACTCCATGACAGCTATAAAATGTATTAACTCACTTTTGCTGGAAAACAATGGCATAGACTTTTCATCTCATTGATCTAAGACTATCACAAATCAAGATAACTTTTATTACATATAAGTCAAATGAATTTGCAACAAAACTGTGTTGCATATCACAGGAATCTTCTCAGTTTTGCAAGGTATAAAAACACATGTATATGATCAAGACAGTGTCCTTCAACCCATTGGCCATCCTTATTGTTGAGCTCTGTATTGCTGTATGTTAAAAGCATCAACATTAAAGCCTCCTGTTGAGTTTCTGTGGTTCTTTTCTCTGGTGTGTTTCAGGTATCAGGTGATCAGCACTCCCACAGACTTCTTCATGGTGATGGAATATGTGTCTGGAGGGGAACTCTTTGACTATATTTGTAAGCATGGAAGGGTAAGAATCATCTGTCAAACTTTCACTAATAAGGTCAGCTGCAGGCTACCAGGCTCTTTAGATTCATGAGAAAGGCCAGTGACTTTCTCGCATTGTGTTCAAAGTCGCATGCCATACCTGCTTTGGAAAATGACTGAACATCACAATTCATTCTCAAACTAGCGTTCTAACATAATTGGTTATGGAAACATGACTTTCCCATTACTAAGAAATATGGCTTATTATTTTTGTGTTAGTCACCTAATAGCCCAAAGCTGCTTTATACACCTCGGGACTCTTAACTACTTTTGTGGCTCGGGTCTGGATTTGAGCATGAATTAACCTCTGAGTCTTCCAAACCTGTTATGGTTACGGGGATCCAGCTTAGCCAAACAGCAGCTGATCCAGTGAAGTGTTCATGGGAAGGGTCAGGGAGTTCATCCATAGGGTGTTATCTGGGTTGCCTACAATGGCACTGTTTGACGGTTCGTGTTGCAGGACTTGTTTAGTTTGCATGCACAAACACACAGCTGACTATGGTGAAATTTGATCGGAAGCTTTTTATTTTTAGAGCTCTTAATTCATCAACACTTGACAAACTTTTTGTTGAATTATGTTTTGATGACATGACGTTGTTGGATATAGGAATAATTCATGTAAATTGGGTCAGTCATTTAAAGCTATGTGTTTGTAATAACTTCAAACTGTTGCTTCCGACTGAACTACATATCCTCTATCCATAATATTGCTTTCTCGTCTGAATCAGGAGAGAAATATGGACAGATCAAGCACTGTTTACAAGCAAAAACAGTGGATTTTGATGTGAGAGGACTACAGGGGATGGACTTTTTCACCGGAGGAAGTGTTATTATGGATTATGGATTCATATTTTGGCCAGCAGTGACGGTTTAAAGTTAAAACACCTTGATAATGGATTTGTTTCACACAAAAATGCAGCTTTTCACTTCACAAGACTTTAACTGATGTACTGGACTCATGTAGCTTACTTGTGGATAATTGTGATGTTTTTATCAGCTGTTTGGACTCTCATTCTGACGGCACCCATTCACTGCAGAGAATCCATTGGTGAGCAAGTGATGTAATGCTACATTTCTCCAAATCTTTTCAGATGAAGAAACAAATTCAGCTACATATTAGGTGGCCTGAGAGTAAGTACATTTTAAGAAAATTTCATTTTTAGGTGAACTATTCCTTTAATTCTGATAGTCAAAGGTCTGGCTTGTAGGACCTGCATGAAAACACTGCACATAAATATTATATCAGGCCTTCATACATTTTTTATGTAATACTGTTTGTCATGTTGATCCTTATATCACTGGAAACTTTAGCTTCATTCAGACTGATAGACATGTAGAGACAATGTAGTAGTACACACACTCAGTGACATACAGGTGCATCTCAATAAATTAGAATGTCGTGGAAAAAACATCACAATAATCCACAAGAAATCCACACCACTCCAGTCCATAAAGTAATGTCTTGTGAAGTGAAAAGCTATGTGTTTGTAATAACTTCAAACTGTTGCTTCCGACTGAACTACATATCCTCTATCCATAATATTGCTTTCTCGTCTGAATCAGGAGAGAAATATGGACAGATCAAGCACTGTTTACAAGCAAAAACAGTGGATTTTGATGTGAGAGGACTACAGGGGATGGACTTTTTCACCGGAGGAAGTGTTATTATGGATTATGGATTCGTATTTTGGCCAGCAGTGACGGTTTAAAGTTAAAACACCTTGATAATGGATTTGTTTCACACAAAAATGCAGTTTTTTACTTCACAAGACTTTAACTGATGTACTGGACTCATGTAGCTTACTTGTGGATTATTGTGGTGTTTTTATCAGCTGTTTGGACTCTCATTCTGACGGCACCCATTCACTGCAGAGAATCCATTGGTGAGCAAGTGATGTAATGCTACATTTCTCCAAATCTTTTCAGATGAAGAAACAAATTCAGCTACATATTAGATGGCCTGAGAGTAAGTACATTTTAAGAAAATTTCATTTTTAGGTGAACTATTCCTTTAATTCTGATAGTCAAAGGTCTGGCTTGTAGGACCTGCATGAAAACACTGCACATAAATATTATATCAGGCCTTCATACATTTTTATGTAATACTGTTTGTCATGTTGATCCTTATATCGCTGGAAACTGGAAGTATTCTAATTTGTTGAGATAGTGAATTGGTGTTTTTTTGTTAAATGTGAGCCAAAATCATCACAATTAAAAGAACCAAAGACTTAAACTACTTCAGTCTGTGTGCATTGAATTTATTTAATACACGAGTTTCACAATTTGAGTTGAATTACTGAACTAAATGAACTTTTCCACTACATTCTAATTTATAGAGATGCACCTGTATGTGTCATGTTTCAGGCTGTATGCTGGTCCAGAGGTGGACATCTGGAGCTGTGGCGTCATTCTCTATGCACTGCTTTGTGGGACTTTGCCATTTGATGACGAGCACGTGCCCACCCTCTTCAAAAAGATCCGGGGAGGGGTCTTCTACATCCCAGAATACCTCAGTCGTTCAGTGGCCAGTCTACTAATGCTCATGTTGCAAGTGGACCCACTGAAGAGAGCTACTATCAAAGACATCAGGTTGTTAGTTATCACATGCTTATTCAACTTGAGTAAATAAATATACTATTAATTAACCAAATAAATTGTGTTTAGTAGTGTAATAAATACAATACATTTTTTTATGGTACCTTTCAGTACTTTTATTTTCTTCCCTCCTATATAACAGAGAGCATGAGTGGTTTAAGCAGGACCTTCCTGGCTACCTCTTCCCTGAGGACCCCTCGTACGACACCACAGTGGTGGATGAGGAGGCCGTGCGGGAGGTGTGTGAGAAGTTTGAATGCACTGAAGCCGAAGTACTGAGCAGCCTATACAGCGGAGACCCTCAAGACCAGCTGGCCGTGGCATACCACCTCATCATCGACAACCGCCGAATCATGAACCAGGCCAGCGAGTTCTACCTGGCCTCCAGTCCCCCAACCAGCTCCTTCATGGAGGAGGGCATGCCTCTGCCACCAGGGGTCAAACCTCACCCGGAACGGATGCCCCCACTCCTGGCCCACAGCCCTAAGGCACGGTGCCCTCTGGATGCCCTCAACACTACCCGACCCAAACCGCTGGCGGTAAAGAAAGCAAAGTGGCACCTGGGCATTCGGAGCCAGAGCAAACCCTACGACATCATGGCTGAGGTTTATCGTGCCATGAAACAGCTGGAGTATGAGTGGAAAGTGAGTGGCTCAGAAACAAACACAGGTATGCATGTTTGATTAGTGAGAAAGAATATAGATGTGTCAATGTGTTGGCTGTCGTGGGATTTAGGTGGTGAACCCCTATCACCTGAGAGTGCGCCGGAAGAATCCAGTCACTGGGAATTTTGTGAAGATGAGTCTGCAGCTCTACCAGGTGGACAATCGTAGCTACCTGCTCGACTTCAAGAGCATTGATGGTGAGCATCGATCAATCAGCCTTTTCAGACTTTTTAATGCCAAGAACCCCCAAAAATGATGATCTCCTTGCTGAAATAAAATGGCAGCTATTTATTTTCACGAACAAAGATCTACTTTTACTGTAAGAGAAAGGTAGTATGATATTATAAAATGATGATTATATTATATAATTAAATTTTTAAGTTATACTGAATTAAAATTATAACATTTCCAAAACGAAATAATAGACTGGGGTTGGTAAGATTTTTACGAATGTTTCTGAAAATTTTTAAATCAAAAATACCACAAAAACATTAATATTGTGAAATATGATTATATTTTTTTATTTTAACATATTTTAAAATGTAATCAATTCCAGTAATGGCATTGCAGGCTTTTAGTGTGAAAGGGCTTTTACATTGGCCAAAATTAGAACTTTTTATATTAAAAGCAAACAAGCAAGCCCAGCCCAGATTTAAAAAGTAAAGCAAAAGTAACGTAACGCATTACTTTCAATAAAAAGTAACTAAGTAACGTAATTAGTTACTTTTTAGGAAATAACGCATTACTTTTCAAAGTAACTTTCCCCAACACTGTTCTTCACAGTATCTCTCAAATCAAATCTAAAAAGTTTTTTGCTCACTTTCAGACGATGCGATCGAGCACAAGTCAGGGTCGTCGACTCCCCAGCGCTCTGGCTCTACGGCCGGCCTCTATCGGCCGCGCCTCAGCATCGACTCTGCGAGCGTGGCTGTTGAGATGCCCCAGCTCAGCAGCTCTCTGCCGGGCTCTCTGAGCGGGAGCACACCTCTCCTGGCACCGCGGCAGGGCAGCCACACCATGGACTTTTTCGAAACGTGTGCCAGCCTCATCATTACCCTGGCTCACTGAGACCCTCGCACCCATGAGCAAAGCATCAGAACACACCATCATCTGATGGTCTTTACTTCTTTACAGTCAAAAGGTGAAGGGTTAAGGGTTGTGATTTATGGATTTGGGGTGCTTTTATGTCAGTCCCATAGTAGCGGCACAAACATACGGTGGACACAAAAGAAACACCTACAAATGTACGAAAGTCATTGCATTATTTAAACAATAATCATATCAAAGCCATCAGCAAACAAGTCATGAAAAATCTTTTTGTCATCACTTCATCATGCTTCATTTTATATAATTAGATAATTACATTTGATATATTTATAAATAATGTAAAACATTGCTTAGGTTTTTCACTGAAATAATTTCTAAATATTAATATTAAATATTTTTACGTTATAAATGATACATTCTGATGTTCCATTGATGTTTGACAATCATTTTATTTATTTATGTTTTTCTTTTTGTTTTACGTAAGTTGTTCTTTTTAACAGTGCATTGTTTTATTGTTTTAAACCTACTTTTTTTTTCTTCTTCTTCTTATCTAAAGCAATGACATTCATTCTGTCCAAAATCTTTTTAGGGCCACTTTAGTCAGAGGTTCTACTCATCATCGTAAGTTTAAATAATTGAAAACCTATAAACATACTTCTGATTTTATATACACATTTTTTTACAATAAGTATTATACAGTATATTTATATTCTCATATCAATCACTTGAGTTGTATAGTTTAGTTTAATAGCTATTGATTGCAATGACATACCAAAAAAAATAAATAATAGATTTATACATACAGAGCAAAGATCATTATTTAATTATATTAGAGATTCTTGCTTATTTTACAAAGAATTCATATCTATTCACATTATTTAAGTGTTAATTTATGGAGTGAAGAACTTATATTGAGTGCTCTGGGTTTGGCTTGCAGTCTTCAGAAAGCGTTTATCAAAGAGCAGTGTAAATGCTGTTGCTGAATGTCACGGTGAATCTCTGATAATACACACCGTCTGCAGTGGAAAAGCCTGACCGTGAACTATCTGTGTCTGTCTCAGAGGCCTTGCTTACATCATGGGCTGTGCTGCTGTCATGAAAGACAAATATGCTGGATGGGGGCAGACAGACCAGCCAAAGAGCTTAAATGTTGTGCCTTGATATGGCTAAAATGCACACAAAGAATAGAGAAGTAGAGAGAAGTAGAGAGACGGGTGAAGTAGAGAATGTGCCAGTCATTTTGTTGATACGAGTGAGCCTTTCATTAGATGGCCTTAAAATATTGCCAATGCTTGAGAATACAGAGAGCCATAAAGACCTTATTAAAGCATTTGTCCTGAATGACACATTCAGCTTTATTCAATTTATTATTTGTTTTAGAACCTAGATTTTAACTATATATTAAAATAATTTTGCAAAGAATTTGACAAAATTGAATTATATTAATAAATTACAATTTAAATAAGTTGTACACACACACACACACACACACACAAGCAGAGTCGAAATGTAATATATGCATTATGCATTGTTACAGCATTCTTTCTAAATTACACAAGTAGCTCATTATTTTTTAGAATATATCAATTATATATCAATTTAATTTCTATAGCTGATGAATGTCTCTTATGCTTACCACGGCTGCATTTATTTTTTTTTTTTGTGTGTGTGATTTCTGGAGAAGATTTGACTGGATTATGGTGTTGGTTTCGTGGAAAAAAATATAGCACAGTCTGAAATTCCTCCCAGAATTTAAAGCCTTTATGCATTCTTAACATGTCCCCACAAATCCCAAGTTCACTCCTGGTCACTTTGAGGATCAGTGTGAGTTTTTGGGAGAAAACTTGACAAAATAGTTTAGGGAGTCCTGCTCCCCGCCCCCTGCTGCTGGACTTTGCTACTACGTTAAAGGTATAGATCACCCCAAAATGACATGATTTGTATAAATAACTCACCTTCGTATTGTTCCAACCCTGTATGAGTTTCTTTCTTCCGTTGAACACAAAAGAAGATATTTTGAAGAATGCTGGTTACCAAACAGCTGGTTTATAGCAGCAACTGTCTTTCATTCTATGGAAGTCAATGGCTACCGACAACTATTTGGTAACCAACATTCTTCAAAATATCTTTTTTTTGAGTGTGTGTTCAACAGAAGATACAAGTTTGGAACAAGTGAAGGGTGAGCAAATGATGACAGAATTTTTATTTTTAGGTGAACAATCCCTTTAGTATCAGTGGCAGATCTGTATGGGAATTGCAGGAATGTGTGCACGCTTCATACAGTTGGGGTTAGTATTTGTCATATTTAGAGACCAGATAGCAAAAGTTTAATATCTGTTATATCAGCTTTATAGCTGTGTTTTGTAGAAACTGGTCAGAAACTTTATGGCCCGATTAGTTTGACTGGGGCATTAGTGCGACGGCCATGGCTTCAGTTCATGTTCAGTGTTGAGGCAATGTTGAGGCATTTGTGCTTGATGACGTTATACCCTCCCTGTCTCTCCAGTGTAGTGTTGTATGTGTGAAACATGAGAATAATGTGTTTTCGGCAGATGACCTCTGCCTGTCAGTGTCTACATGTCTGTAATGTACACGTGTGCATGTCACTTCCTGTCTGTGTGCGGTTTGTATTTTAAAAGTTATGCACTGCATGCTTTTCCTGTTCTGATTTGCACTTAAATTTTTTGTTGAAAAGCAAATAAAGTGGTATACTGTATGCATTTTGTTTAGATTTTGATTTATATGTAAAAAAAAAAAAAAAAAATGTAATATTATATTGTCAAACAATAGCAAATCAACAACTTATAGATGATTATATTATATGAACTTTCTGTTTATCAAAGAATCCTGAAAAAAATGTCAATATATTTCCTTACAAATATTAGGCAGCACAGCTGTTTTGAAGCAAAATATTATAATAAGATCAAATCAGCATATTAGAATGATTTTTGAAGGATCTGGAGTAATGATGCTGAAAATCCAGCTTTTTAAGGTAGTGTAAATTGCTCGATTTTATAATTATGTAAAATATTTTTTAAAAATCATCTTAAATATTCAAATATTTATTTAACTAACCAACCAGTAATCAGCTACTGGAAAAATCATGGAAAACTTTTCAGCATAAACAGAGCAACGATTTTGAATTAGATACACAACTGTGGCATTTATTCTCTTCTCCAGAAAACCTAGTACATGCAGTAGAATTACAAAATAAACAACACTTAAACTTGCACTACAAGCATCAGCATATTTTCCCTAATGCAGAGTAGCCCTGAAGACTGGGAATATTTAAACATAAAGGACTGCATGTAAAATATAACACGAATAATATAATACTAGTTACTCTAATACAAATGCATAGTTTGATTATATAAACCTTTAGGTTGCAATCCTAAACTTCTAAGCAAATGATACCACAAAAAATAATGCTGACTTAGGAACTGCATTTTAATGTTGACATTGCATTGTACTTTTAAACCAAACCCAAATGTAAAGATGTTTTAACATGCATAAACCGTCATTTTGATCTGTCAGTTGTTTAATAATTAATCTCTTAAAATCATCAGACAACTCAGACTAGATAGACTGTCTTTGCCGCAGAACTAACACTTCGATGTAATGGTTTAAATAATCTGAAGAGCTTCTCACCACACCATACAAGGGCCTTTTTTTTACAGATTGAACATAATATACATGCATATAGAAGAACTCGCCTGCAGCCACTTACTGATGCACAATCACAAACATGAATCTTCCCACTTGACAGACACGTCTCCTCTTGAGCGTGTGTGGGTGACATTTACTGTGCTGCTCATCAAAACGCAGCCCACAGGAGGGTTATGAACTCAGAAACGGTGAAGATCCAGAGCAGATATATATATATATATATATATATATATATATATATATATATATATATATATATATATATATATTTCAGGTTTGTTTGTTTGATGAATAGAAAGTTCAAAAGAACAGCATTTATTTGAAATATAATCTTTTGTAACATTACACCGTCAATTTTAAATTTAATACATCCTTGTTGAATAAAAGTCTTCTATTTTGCAAAAAAATAAAAAATAAATAAAAAAAACACCTCCATCCTGACCCAATCTCACCTTACGCTTACGGCAGCATCAGTCAGCGTTTTACATCCAGACACTCAGCTAAACTTCTGTCAGCATTTGACCACAAACTCACATTTAAAGCCAGTGGATCTGTGCTGTGAAACTTTAACAGTGTGTTACAGTCCTGTCATGTGACTTACACCGTGTGTTTCTCCAAGACAGAATAAAGACATCCGGCAGAGGTGACAACAATGAAATAATATATGCTATATTCATGTAAATCCCAGCCACAGGCACTTTCCACCCAACATTGTATCATCAATCCATTTCAACATTCAGTCTTAAAGGGACAGTTCACCCAAAAATGAAAATCCTGTATGAGTTTCTTTCTTCCGTTGAACACAAAAGAAGATATTTTGAAGAATGCTGGTTACCAAACAGCTGGTTTATAGCAGCAACTGTCTTTCATTCTATGGAAGTCAATGGCTACCGACAACTATTTGGTAACCAACATTCTTCAAAATATCTTTTTTTTGAGTGTGTGTTCAACAGAAGATACAAGTTTGGAACAAGTGAAGGGTGAGCAAATGATGACAGAATTTTTATTTTTAGGTGAACAATCCCTTTAGTATCAGTGGCAGATCTGTATGGGAATTGCAGGAATGTGTGCACGCTTCATGCAGTTGGGGTTAGTATTTGTCATATTTAGAGACCAGATAGCAAAAGTTTAATATCTGTTATATCAGCTTTATAGCTGTGTTTTGTAGAAACTGGTCAGAAACTTTATGGCCCCGATTAGTTTGACAGGGGCATTAGTGCGACGGCCATGGCTTCAGTTCATGTTCAGTGTTGAGGCAATGTTGAGGCATTTGTGCTTGATGACGTTATACCCTCCCTGTCTCTCCAGTGTAGTGTTGTATGTGTGAAACATGAGAATAATGTGTTTTCGGCAGATGACCTCTGCCTGTCAGTGTCTACATGTCTGTAATGTACACGTGTGCATGTCACTTCCTGTCTGTGTGCGGTTTGTATTTTAAAAGTTATGCACTGCATGCTTTTCCTGTTCTGATTTGCACTTAAATTTTTTGTTGAAAAGCAAATAAAGTGGTATACTGCATGCATTTTGTTTAGATTTTGATTTATATGTAAAAAAAAAAAAAAATGTAATATTATATTGTCAAACAATAGCAAATCAACAACTTATAGATGATTATATTATATGAACTTTCTGTTTATCAAAGAATCCTGAAAAAAATGTCAATATATTTCCTTACAAATATTAGGCAGCACAGCTGTTTTGAAGCAAAATATTATAATAAGATCAAATCAGCATATTAGAATGATTTTTGAAGGATCTGGAGTAATGATGCTGAAAATCCAGCTTTTTAAGGTAGTGTAAATTGCTCGATTTTATAATTATGTAAAATATTTTTTAAAAATCATCTTAAATATTCAAATATTTATTTAACTAACCAACCAGTAATCAGCTACTGGAAAAATCATGGAAAACTTTTCAGCATAAACAGAGCAACGATTTTGAATTAGATACACAACTGTGGCATTTATTCTCTTCTCCAGAAAACCTAGTACATGCAGTAGAATTACAAAATAAACAACACTTAAACTTGCACTACAAGCATCAGCATATTTTCCCTAATGCAGAGTAGCCCTGAAGACTGGGAATATTTAAACATAAAGGACTGCATGTAAAATATAACACGAATAATATAATACTAGTTACTCTAATACAAATGCATAGTTTGATTATATAAACCTTTAGGTTGCAATCCTAAACTTCTAAGCAAATGATACCACAAAAAATAATGCTGACTTAGGAACTGCATTTTAATGTTGACATTGCATTGTACTTTTAAACCAAACCCAAATGTAAAGATGTTTTAACATGCATAAACCGTCATTTTGATCTGTCAGTTGTTTAATAATTAATCTCTTAAAATCATCAGACAACTCAGACTAGATAGACTGTCTTTGCCGCAGAACTAACACTTCGATGTAATGGTTTAAATAATCTGAAGAGCTTCTCACCACACCATACAAGGGCCTTTTTTTTACAGATTGAACATAATATACATGCATATAGAAGAACTCGCCTGCAGCCACTTACTGATGCACAATCACAAACATGAATCTTCCCACTTGACAGACACGTCTCCTCTTGAGCGTGTGTGGGTGACATTTACTGTGCTGCTCATCAAAACGCAGCCCACAGGAGGGTTATGAACTCAGAAACGGTGAAGATCCAGAGCAGTCCATCTTTCCCTCTTGCAGCCAGAGTTATTCGGCTATTTTGAGATGAGTTTGATTGGCCTAGAATAGACAAAATCTAAAATGTCTAAAAGGACTCTAAAATGGCATTAAACATCATTGGAGCTTAAAAAGGCCAGAGGTTATGAATGACCAGGGTCAAATTTAAAAGACAAGCAAGGAAATAAAAAAAGGTTTGAGAATAACCTTTCCATGTGAATATACAAGCTAGGCAAGGGGCTAGTTGTCACATTTTATTTGAGGCAATTTTAGCATGTTTTAAATGTTAAATGTATGTATAATTATATATATATTTTGTAATATATAATTATTATTAATTAAATTATTTTTACACTACTGTTTTTGGTTAGTAAGAGTGTTTTTTTTAAAGAAATTAATATTTTTATTTTGTTAGGATGCAGTAAAGTGATCAAAAGCGACAGTGAAAAATGTCTATTTCAAATCAGTGCTGTTCTTTTGAACTTTCTATTCATTAAAGTATCATGTTTTCCACAAAAAAATATTAAGCAGCACAACTGTTTGCAGTTGAGACAATGTGAAATGTTTCTTTGATTTCTATGATTTCTGATTGATCATGTGACACTGAAGACTGGAGTAATGATGCTGAAAATTCAGCTTTGCAACACGGGAATAAATTACATTGTACAATATATTAAAACAGAAAACAGTTTTTTGAATAATATTTCACAATATTACTGTTTTTACTGTATTTTTGATCAAATAAATGCCTTGGTGAGCATATGAAACTTATTTCAAAAACATAAACAAAATCTTAAAGACTCCAACCATTTGAACCCTAGTGTATATAATTTAGATATTTGCAGTCCAAAACTGTAGTTTGCATTTTTTGTTACACTTTACTTTATTTACCTGTACTTCAATAATAAGCTGTTTAATGTCTGGATCCATTGTGACGACTTACCCCATATAGTGCAACAACATGTTCTGCTATTGGGGCATGTTGTCACAAAAGATCACTCAAGATGTTCAGTGTACGTACTTGCTGTAAATAGGCATGGGGTCTCCAGCTGTGATGTCGGCATACAGGTCCGGAGGAGGAAGAATCTGGAGGTCTGACACATCTAAATCTTCTTCTTCTTTATTTCTGAAGGAAATAGACAATAACAGCAACATCTAGTTAGCAGTTAGCACAGCGGCTGCACAGACTGATGGAATGAGACATGGTTTCTGAAAAAAAAACATCTCAAATATTCATGTGAAACCAGTCTGATCACATACTCCTGCGGAGAAAAGACATCTCGGGAATTACTGACTGTGTTACGTGTGAGAACTTGTATTGTACATAATTTGAGAACACTTACGAGCTGTCAGGATCCTCTTCAAGTGGTAACACAGAAGTGGAGAAGTAGGAGAGAAAAAGTGAGTGTGGGTAGATGCGACTGTTTATGTAATTCATGTTTAGAGTGTCAAAACATACCTGGTGTGGGCTCTGGTATTCTTGATGCACAAACAGCCATATAAGGAAAGAGGAAGTAGAGATTAGTTGCTATCCTGTAATCTTATCGTTTACGGTAAGTGATCTTTAGTGGATTCAAAGGAAGTAGACAATAACTAAAGTAATGGCCTACACTGGGCTGTTGTTTCGTGGTAGAGGCTGAGAGGGCGTCTTAGGTTGCATAAAGAATGTGGAGAGTTTTTGAATCGCTTCCTGTTTTCCTCTGCAACACACAATAAACAAATACTTATTCTTATGTTCTTCTTAATGTGAAACATTATTACAGATCAAAGGTAGTACAGAAGTATGACCTGTCATTTTAGTGAATAGAATAGAATAGAACTTACTGCGCGTTCATATAAGTTGAATCACGTTGGTCTGAAAAAGAAAAAAAACAGACAAAAAAAATTTATCAACAAAGTAATAATAATAATAATTCTTATTCTTTCTTATTCTTATAATGAATGTGGAGAGTTTTTGAATCGCTTCCTGTTTTCCTCTGCAACACACAATAAACAAATACTTATTCTTATGTTCTTCTTAATGTGAAACATTATTACAGAGCAAAGGTAGTACAGAAGTATGACCTGTCATTTTAGTGAATAGAATAGAATAGAACTTACTGCGCGTTCATATAAGTTGAATCACGTTGGTCTGAAAAAGAAAAAAAACACAGACAAAAAAAATGTATCAACAAAGTAATAATAATAATAATTCTTATTCTTTATTATTCTTATAATTTATTATTATTATTATTAACATACGTATGGCTTTTTATTTCATATTTATGACTTGGAATCTCATAATTTTGACCATGACATCATAATTAAGAGTTTTTTAGTGTATAATATTGAATTTTTGTTACAATTTTGACCTTTTATGTCATAATTATGACTTTTTATGTCAATTTTGACTTTTAATGTCATAAACATTTTTTGGTCATCATTTCAACTTACAACATAATTGTTTTTTTGTCATAATTTCTTTTTTTTTATGTCATTATTATAACTATCCATGTCATAATTTTGACTTTTTATGTCATAATTATGACTTATTACATCATAATTCTTTTTGGTCATAATTCTGATTGTTTATGTCATGATTTCAACTTTTTATATCAGTCATCTTTTGGTCAAAATTTCAGCTTTTTATAATTGTTTATAATTATATAAACATAATATATAATTTTACACACACCTTTTCTTTCTTTCTTTCTTTTCTTTTTTTTAATTTCATGATTTTAACTTTTGTCATAATTCTGACATTTAATGTCATAGTTATCATTTACCAAAGTGTGACTTTTTTTTGCTTATGTGCTTCCATAAATATGACTGAAAAAGTGAATGATATACTCTATATATGAAGAGTTCAGATGCAAAAGCCTCTAAGTACGTCTGATGTTTTTCTTTAAAATTAGCATTTCTTTCTGACTACTATGTATAGGTTTCTATGCAAGTACTGGTACTTCTGAATGGGTTGAGGCTGGGATTTAGCGCATTTGAAGTGAAAGTACTTGATGAACATATGCTATGTGTGGAGAGCATTCACTCAGTATCATTATCTCATGTTTGACCAAGATGGCTTTTAGAGGCTTTTGCATCTGAACTCTTCATATCTATAATGACTAATATAGTTAATATAGTCTTGGATGTTTCCAGTTGGTAATGCTCCTGTGAACATTTTTCAGTCATGCCTCATCAGTGACTCACCTTGAGCTGGTGTGGCGTGTGATTGATTCAGCACCCTGAAAGATTGAACATGCACGCCTTGTAAACAATACAATAGCTTAACAGTCAAGCTTTGTTACTAAGTACCAAAAAGGGTGAATACCCACATGAGGTAATACTTACATGTGTGCTGTTTCATTAGGAGAGCCAAACACAGGGTCGTCATCATCACAGGTCCACTCCTCACTGTCTTCTGAGACTGATCAAATAAAATTAAATTAAATTAAATTAAATTACAAATAGCAACTTATGTCTTGAGTAGGATTTTTATTCTGTATTATAAAACATAACCATCCAAAGCAGAAAATGTTGCAGTATGTTGTACTGATACCATGGTTCACTTATGGTACTGTATCAGATCTATCAGATAAAAATACCATAGTACTCTAGGAGGTGTTCCAGTCGATGTCTGAGAAGGTACAACAGCCTTAGGGACAACAGGAACACTTTGAGTAGGGGGATTCGCTGTTACAGATGGCCCAGCAGGAGCTGGGTGACTTGGAGCAGGGGTATGACTAGCTGGTGGTGGTCTTTCCACTGTATCTGCTTCCTCATTCTCATCTTTGCTAGTTGTTTGAGTGGTAAACACAAAAGTCTTGGGTGTGGAATCCCGAGGTCTATAGGGGCTGGGTTCAGGCTCTGTGGTATCCGCTTTTATTGGAGCCACTGGCAGAACCAGTGGAAGATTGCTCTCTTTCAGAGACTTTTTGGTAATGTCGACCTCATTTACTGTGTCTGCCTTCTCATTCTCATCTTGGTTAGTTTTTTGAGGAGTAAATACAAAACTCTTGGTTGTGGACACTTTGGTTGGTGGAATGGACACAGGTGTAAGTGGGCTGGGTTCAGGTTCTGGGCTTTCAGCTTTTTTCGGAGCCACTGGCAGAACCATTGGAAAATTCCTGTCCTTCAGAGACTTTTTGGTAGTGTCTACCTCTTTCACAGGGTCTATTTTCTCACATTCATCTTTGCTAGTTTTTTGAGGGGTAAATACAAACTTTTCGGGTTTCGTCACTTTGACTGGTGAAGTGGACACAGGTGTACGTGGGCTGGAATCAGGCTCTGGAGTTTTGGCTTTTGGAGCTACGGGCAGAACCAGCAGAAGATTCTTGTCTTTCAGATTCTGCTTAACAGTGTTGACCTCCTTCTGCATATTATCCAGCAGTTCACCATTATTGATGGGTTGGTTCTCTCTAGTCTTTAATCCCCCAGGTGAAGAGAGCTGGCGATTTAGATTTTTGTCTTGTTTGAAGACGACACGTGGTGCTTGAAATGTCCCTTTTTGCACAGCAGTATTGATGGATGAGATCATGGGATTGCTGACTTTTGTTGATGGAGGGATGGTTTTGGGTTTATCTGGGAGTGCAGGTTTAGTCTGGATCTTCAGACCGTTTTCACCCTGGAACCGTGCCTTCAGGGTTTTAAAGTCTATTGATTCATCCTGATGTATTAAATTTAGTAAATGTTAAACATTGCTTTACATTGCAATATGGAATGCATATGACATGTTAGTATGACACACTATCAGTGTCCAATCAGATTTCATACATTTTAATAATTAAAACCGCACTGGTTAATGTCAAAATGTACAACAACATTTAATGGAAATCAATAAGCTGCGGTGAAAGAGCCTTGTTAAGCAAATTGTGGTACTTTCAAACAATAGTATGACATATGGATTGACAATAAGCTGGTGTCAATAAAATGTCAATGGTATAGGAAACTCTTACAAAAGAGATTGTAATACCATGGTACTGAACAACTACCATATTTATTGTATTTACATTACATTATATTTCAAAGAATAGCATAGTCCTACCAAAATTAAGTATTTCCAAAAGAAAACATTATACATGTCCAAAACTTGACATTTGCCCAATATTTCTTCACAATTGTCCAATATTAAATTTTAATTCATGCATTGTTTTGTGTTTGAGGAATCCATATGGGAAAAATAAAGCCTGGATCACACTCAAAAGTTGATAACAGAGCAAAATTCATGTCTCAGTTTCTTACCTGTTCCATCATTCTGACTCAAAGGCTTCCAGGAGTTTGTAAAAAAGTGGTACTTCGCTCTCCTCAGCCCCTCATAATTAATAATCCATTGAGTTATTCCGTTATGATTCAAAATGATCCAGCATGTACAACTAAAATGGTGTTGTGTCGCAGTTGTCAGAAGATAAATAGCACGTAGAGTGAGAACTCGCCCAATGGCCCTGAAACTGGAATGAGGTTTGATAAACATGTTCATGTGCTAATGACGAGATAAAGGAATGTCTTGTCAAACAAGTCACTTCACTGAACGCCAGCAAATGACTGTTTTCATTCTCAAAGAATGCAGTCAGTCAAGAACCACAGAAATGAAGGAAACACTTCTATTGTCAAACAGCAGAAATCAAACTCTCATTACGTCTTTACTGCAGGTAGCCTAGAAGTAACATAAAAATATTGAACATAAAAATATTGGTCAACATTGTTCACACCTCTTGTGATTACATTCACATTTACTCTCAGGAGGAGACGTATCTCTCCCTTGTCAAAAATCTAATCTGCTGACTTCAGAGTTATATTTAATTTAATTTGAATTACATTTAAAGACATAAATCTGTACATAGAGACTGGGGCTAGTTGTCACACTTTTCACTCAAGTGAATATTTCTTCTGGTGGCTTTATTTCAGAAAGCAAATTTCTGTATAGATATCTCCTAGATGTCTAGTTCTGACTACAAAATTCACAGAAAAAAAGGATACAGTTAATTTAGCACTCAATGACCCTATATTGGAGCATATTATCATAGTAAATCACTCTCCATTGCTGCAGAACAGGGGGATCTTAATGCTCTAAGAATAAAACATGCATTTGACCTCTGAACCACAAAAATGATCATGATGACTACATTTGATCACAACATTTGCAGTCATGACTGACATGAAGATTAGCAATGTGTTAAAAATGTGATCATAAAACTGCCCTTGAAACAAGTTTCTGTGGAACAAAGCAGGCCTAATGCAGACATTTTCGCTATAAGCAAGTGAGAGTGAATTTAAATATGTATGTGCTTATTTATCTGGCAAAGTTCCAGTTCAATGATTCAATTCACATACTGAATCTAATTTAGATTGTGTGGCTAGATAATTCAACCTCTGAAACAGCATTTCAACTACTGGATATTGTTCTCTTCCAAATCTAGTAAGCCTATGATTGAATGTAGAAGAAACAAGTGGTAATTTGTTTGCTTTTTATGTAGGCATATTAATAAGAATGGCAAAAGTTTGCTAAATGTGTCTACTACCCTAGAAGGTAGGCTACACTCAGTAAATGAGTTTGTGTTTCACTGGCAGATACAACTGTAGTCCTGACATTTGTCTTGCCACCTAGTGATGTGGATGCAATATTGCATAAAAGCAAAAGTTACTAATGTCATTCTAGAAACATCCTGTTCACGCCCATGGTTATTTATTTTGTTTCCTTTACCCTGAAGTGCCTCATAACGTGGGTTACGAAGAGTAGTACTCAGCTGGTCATGTGATCTCAAAAAGCGCGATCCACCCTTATGTAGAGTAAAACAGCTTTTCTACTGCACCCCTTTTAAATATAATATATTTTTTTTTGCTAAGGCAGAGAGGCAGAGCAACATTTTGGGATGTGTTTATTGGTAACAGTATTACATGGTGGGTTACGTAAATCAAGAGAAAAGAAAAAAATGCTCTAAAAATCCACTGTAGAATGTCATTATCGTCAAGATAAAAATAATGTGTCCTTTTACATTACCAAACCATTAGCTGAGGTAAAGGCAAAATAGAAATGTACTGAAATTGTAAGGACTCCCATTCACCTTGATTTTCACCCTCATCTTCTTAATCCTCAAAATTTAGATCTTGAAGGTCCAAAACTGCTTTAATTGGAAATTAAAATGGGACTCTGGCCATAAAATAGGAGGAAGATGTTGTCACAGTAATGGAATGCTCTGAGCTTTTCAGATGCAATGAAAACAGATGTCATTCATGGTGATTTTCTCTGATTGGAGGTTGGATTACAGACAGATATTCTGGTGTGTTTTAATGCGATCAGACGGCCCAAAAGTCAACGTGAAACGGCCTTCGCAACCCATTTTAGTCTTATTGCGACATATTTCTCAGTAAAACAGGATATTCAACAAGATACAAGGCAGGACTTCACATTGGGAATTGAGTGAGTTGTGAAAAGTGGGCATTACATGTCAGATTGGAGCCAATTGTAACAATTCAAATCTAATTAATGTCAGGATTTTAAAGGCTGCTTGTTTGAGCTTGGTTATGTTAATCAAAATGGAAGTTCAACACTTTGAGGACAGAATAAGAAGACTTTATTTTTCTTTGGACTAACATGACTTGTCATATTGACTTTAAGGTCTCTGTGAATGTGTGTCTGCATGAAGATGTATGTCTATGTGATCGTGTACATCCATATTTGTGATTGCTGCATTAACATACACGTTGAGAAGCTCTGGTCTTTCTCCATCACAGTTACCAGCTTCACCTTGACAACAAACCAAAAGAGATCACACAAATATGACACCCAACTATTTACCAATGGACCCTTTCAGGCATTAAAAACATAATAACAGTCTCTCGGGTTTGTTTCAGGCCACTTAAAAACACACATCCTGCTGAAATCAAAAGACCGACGACACGCTTTGATCGTGAGAAAGCAACATAAACCTCTGGGAGTTTGGGACACATGTTAATATTGCTTGGGTTTCATGAGGAGTTTGCATCACTAAGGCCAGCCTATTTTATGGCACGGTAGTCCACAGTATGGAATTAACACTGTTTTAATCGGAACCATTAGTATTATCATTTACTATTTGTCGTCATCATCGTCACTGTCATTATTATTATCAATAATAATAATAATTATTATTATTTACAAAATGAGTTTGGCAAACCAACGATCAGATTTTAAAGCCATGTTTACCCCTAAAACACATCTAAAGTTGACTTCAAGGGCTCCACTTGACTTATAAAATAAAAATTCCACTTCAACTTCATGTTTTTGTTTTTTCTCATTAGTATTGTACAAAAGCTATAGAGAAGGAACAGTTTGATCGCATGTGTTTGCAATGTTCGTACTCTCGAGTTCCCCATTCAGATTCAGCTGCTCCGAAATCTTAGATTTGGCAAAAGTCAATCCTCGTGTCTATTCTCCATCCGAAGGGTCCATGGAGAGAGAAGATGTGGGGGGTTTTTTTAGCTCTGCATAGCTTTCTAGCAGCAGAATCTCAAATATGTGGGAGAGGAAAACCAAACGAACCCAAATGAATCGCATAAGTCACAGATGGATCCGGTGGTCTGATGGCGCTTAGGCTCTCAGTCGGATGCGTGATCGGGGGTCTGACAGGCACCTCTCGAAAGATTTTCCCGTAATGCGGTCTCTATAGAGTCAGAAACTGGAAGTAGGACAAAGAGAATGAATGAAGCTGCAGAGCTGGGCTCATAAGGCTTGAAATCACCCACAATGCCCCGCTGTCATGTCCAGAAAACACAGTGAGAAAGAAACAAAGTGGTATGGAGAGAGTCTGTCCCTCTTGTTCCTTGCGGAGGGGAGTAACGGAGGAAGTTGTGAGGGGGACGGGACTGACTCTAGTGAGATGGCTGCTTGGAGAAGTGGACCGTTGTGGCTGGAGCGACCACTATCATACAAACACAGACACATCTCAGGCACACGTGCTCTCTCTCTCTCTCTCTCTCTCTCTCTCTCAGAGAGTCTGTCCCTCTTGTTCCTTGCGGAGGGGAGTAACGGAGGAAGTTGTGAGGGGGACGGGACTGACTCTAGTGAGATGGCTGCTTGGAGAAGTGGACCGTTGTGGCTGGAGCGACCACTATCATACAAACACAGACACATCTCAGGCACACGTGCTCTCTCTCTCTCTCTCTCTCTCTCTCTCTCTCTCTCTCTCTCTCTCTCACACACACACACACACACAGACACACACACACACACACACACACACAGGGCAGACAGTTGATCTCCAGTATTTTGGTCTCCTGCTCCCCCCAGCGCTGATCACGTCTGTGCAGAGTTCCCATGATCCTTCACTTCTTCCCCTTGTTGATCTGGGCATAAAGAGGGTCCTTCCCCTGAACACAAACAGAGTAAGGTTATTTAGATAGAAATAACAAAACTTTATGTCAGTCTCAGATGGAAAACTCTGATGGATCAAGGTTTGACCCATTTGGCCCAACTGGTAGAAGTTGTAACTACACCATCTGGACACAAAAAGCCTCTCTCTCCATTGATGGCTATTCAAAAACGGCTGTGTATCCTGTGTATTTTTTTTTTCTTCCCTCAAGCAACATATTTATCACTAATATTTAATTGAATAATAATATGTTTAGCCAGTGACTGTTTTTTTTTTGAGGGCTTTTAAAAGTGTACAATTTTAATGTTCACAGATCCATATTTTAATGGGATCTGAAGGGCAATTAACAATAAACTGGATACTTATCAGATGTGAAATCTGATATCTGGATTATTTATAGATTTTTTTTTTTTATTATTATAATATACATGAAAATAACCCAGATCACAGTTGAAAATTTCAGTCACTATGATTTTAGACAATGTGATACACCATCTGGACACAAAAAGCATATTTCTTTACTGACGACAACTTGAAAATTACCTGTGTATTCTGACTATATATTTTTTTGTCAATTATAATTATATTATAATTAAATGTTTTGCCAGTGACCATTTTTTTAGGCCTTTTTAAAGTAGTTTTTTATTTTATTATTATTATTTTTTTATTGTTATTATTATTATTTTATTGTTGTTAACAGGTCTATTTATTAATGAGGTCTAACACGCCTTTCCATATTTATTTGTTAAAAATATATTATGCACTGATATATGTAAATCTATCCTCAATATTTGTAAATTGTATACTTATCAGAGGGCTTGTTAAGGGATTTTAAAAGTGTATTTTTTATTGTCTGATAACATATGTGTGTGTGTGTGTTATATTATTATTATTAATAATAATATATGAAAGTAACCCAGATCACATTTGAAAATGTGATTTGTATTGTGATCTAAAATCTGTGTCACATGAGAGGGAGAAAAAATGAGATCAGATTTGGGTCACATAATGTGATATGTCAATTAGGCTGTTCCTCCTAATCAACACCAGGTGGAAACAGA